AGGCAAAAGTTACAAAAGTGCCTGACGATACCTATGGAGAGAGAGAGAGAGAGAGAGAGAGAGAGAGAGAAAAACTGGACATAATTTTATTGGAATCTGTGAGACAAAAATCTCTATTTGGCGGAAATCTCTAAACTCGGCAGTATAGCTTTCCGGAAAGGGACTGTCGTGTTTATGCAGGGACATTGCTAAGCAACATGAAATTTTGCGAACACGTCAAGCTGACGTGAAATATTTCACATTCTGATTGGACTAGAAAAATCCGAAACACTACGCGTGAGCATACCACCTTTATTTTTAATAGAACATTGAAGAGTACTATAGAGGCGGTAAGCTCGATGACCAGCCGCTGTTCGGGAAAGAAGACCGCCAGCAGACCGGATTTGAGAGAGTGGCAGAAATGGAACCTACAGAGGCGGCCACTCAAAAAATAAAATACCTTGTAAATGTTGTTTTCTTGGTCTTCATTGGTAAGTCTGTTCATTATAAACTGCAGAAGTTCTTTTAACGTGGCTGGTAAACTCCTAATATGACGAGTGATCGTTTCAAAGACTCCAAACACGCGTAGCTCTTCACACGACAACGATAACGACAGAGGATTACGCGCCCCTGCTGAACCAATTAACAACTCCATCTGCTCTGCATCGAGTTTCTTGAAATAGTAAATGAAAGAGTTAACTGTACAATGTTTATAGAAAATCTCTCAACATTTGATTTGCAACAACATCTACTCACACATGTAGTTATCTAGAACGACTGCACGCACTGCGGGCCTCTCATGCTGGTGAGTTAGCGACTCTTTCTTGACCTGTGTTGTAATACGACAATGAATAGCATTTATTGCTCTGGCTAGTTCGCCTCAGCAGACAACCCTTTGTCTAAGTAAGAAGAAGCTTTCTAATTCGATTTCTTGACCTAATAATCTGACCAAAGTGACTGAAAGCGGTTTCATTCCTTTTTGGAAGCTTAAAAATCCCAAAAGTTAGGAAACGTCTAGGTTTTGAATGGGCAACACAAAACGGAGGAATACCTTGTTATACTTTCCTAAAGTGTGCTTCACTATATCTTTACGAGCGGACTCGTCAAGTTCTCCTATATGAAGTGGTACTGCATGGGGCTTGCGCTGCTCACTGGACAGGACTCGAGCAGAGCGACTGTCAGTCACTGCACTGATCACACAACGAACATTGCGTGGGAAAATACTTGGAAGCCAGTCCATGTGGTCTGTTGCTTCAGCATCCGCTAACTATAGAAAAGAACAAAGAAAAAAAATGGCCTCTGGGCTAATAATCGAGCAATTTGTCCCAACATATTTCACATGAGTGTCCCCTTACAAAAAACTTGAATTAATCAGGCGTTGGGTGTGGCGTTCGAGATATTGTGACAGGCCCTTTTCCCGTACCCTTATTCTATACTTTTTGGTGAAATCTCTCCTTTTTTCAATCTCAAACCTGGAAAAGTACCTTTTCTGGTGTACGCATCTCCCAAAATAGTTCAGCAAAGCGGGCTTAGAGTATTGCTGAAACAGTGACATAAGACAAAACGTTCTTGACGCAACATTCACAATTGTAAATTACGTCTGAGTGTTCAGCAAAAGGTATCCGCTCTTTCTATTTCGCTGCGCCTTGAAAACTCTTCTCTTTGAACACGTTTTCTGCATCGTTTTGACAAGGATAATAGATAAACTCAGTGTTTTAAAACGAGAACGGAGGCCTCAGTATGGCTGTAGATTTGGTGTTAAAAATAGAGAAATGTTCTGTCCGTGATAAAGATCCTTCTTCAATAGACCCTTAGCCAGGTTGCCTGTTCATTGACACATGCACTGTAAACAGCACATACATGTATGCCACTTCTCTATGATTGACGGACTTGAGATATTGAGAAATGAGAAAGTTAAGAAGAAAGCACGGTAACCAATCGTACAATCTAATNCATGCACTGTAAACAGCACATACATGTATGCCACTTCTCTATGATTGACGGACTTGAGATATTGAGAAATGAGAAAGTTAAGAAGAAAGCACGGTAACCAATCGTACAATCTAATTGGTTCTTAGCCCGGTCCGGATTTTCATATCTCTGGCCATCGTCATGGTATTAAACGCGTGCGTGCGCGATGTGTGTGTAGAAAAGGTCCATCATTATAAAAGTGATTTGAAAGAGAGGAAAATTTGAATAAGTTATTTACCGACTTAGAGTCGGTCTGTATAGTGAAAAACTGTGACCTCGGCTTGAAAATGCTGCTCCCGGCCTGCAGCCTCGGGCAGCATTTTCAAGACCTCGGCCATAGTTGTACACTTTATGGACATTCCAGCTGGCAAATAACATATGTGTTGTAATTACCTGATTGATTGCATCAATGATGACCACAAACACTTCACCTCTTTTGCCAATTTCTTCTAATTCTTTCTTGATCTCTTGTTGGAGTTGTTCCTTGCTCATGTCTTCAAGATATGGAGGATCTTCAGGGTGTAGCAACAAAAACAAGCAAGAACCAATTAGGCCATACGCTTAACACAAAGTGCTGGGGATCACCTTTTTTGTTTACTTCCAATATTAAGAATTGTATAGGAGGGTAAAGCTAAAGTTGATGATTCTACAGGACAATTTTCTTTCAACCCAGATCTTTAACTTCTTCAGTACTCAGTACTTAGTACTCAGTTCAGGTTTTTTAGAGCTGTCGTTCTGATTTTGGTCCGATTTCTTTCTTCTTTCTTTTTCGTTTTTCTTCCCCTTTCTTTCCTCCCTGTTTTCCACTCTTTATCAACTCTATCAGCTTCAAAGATTTTCCATTTTAGTTGTAGCAAGCCTTCTAAGAGGAACGCTATGACAATGCTTAACTTAGGATGATAAGAAGGTTTTTCTTTGTAACTCACATCAACTTCAGATATTATTATTCTTTTCAAAATCGGCTTGGACTGTTAAAAACATGTCTAGTGACAAATTCACAAACCTGCTACACTCAAACTCTTCAGCCATCGGACTAGTTTCTCTACAAGTTTGACAGGATTTGTAGATCCTGGTCCAGCCCCAACAAAATGGAAGAATAATGGCAACCCAAGCTTTTTAATGTCCAGTGTACAACGAGCCATCAGTGCTGACTTTCCAGATCCTGAGGAGCCCAGGACCATAAGTGGAACAAGGCCCTCTGCACTGGGTCCATCAGATATAGTCCCATGCTCAACATATTGCATTATAGTAGAAATTTCTTTACTCCGTCCCAACACGAGTTGACCTCGCAGTTCAATGAACTGGTTGTGCATTGAGAGCTCTGTGCAAAGAAAATGATGGAACGAAAAAAACATATATATAGCTTTGTGGTTCTAAATTTTTTTTATTCTAATCCTTGCAACAGGGAGGTGCTGATGCCTTAGGGTTGATGTTAGTTGCATTGTTTTGCAAGTCACTTAATACTCTTACAATGCTTGCTTCCAGCCAAAAAAATGACAGTATCCATTTTCATGTATACTCCTGGGGTAATCAACAAAAATGCTGAGCCAGGGTGGATTGGGGTGACTTTTAGTAGGCACAACATCCTGTCTAAATGGAATAATCAGACTTACCAATTTCTTCTGTGGATAGTCCTTGAGTCACCTCAGGAACTGATCTGGTAATGGCTGATTTGAAAAATTCAAGCACAGCTTGACTGAAATTTTCTAACCCTTTGAGTTTGACCTGAAATAATTGAAAATATAAGAAGGCATTTAGAACAGGATTGAAAAAAGACCTTTCCAAGTTACTGGTAAATCCAGTTTGAAAATGTTTGGAAGGGAATGTGAATAATCTCTCACAGTGCCTTGCTTGCAGGAGCACAGACCTCCACCCGACCCCCCTACCACACCCCCTTAGAATTAACAGTGACTTTGCATGGGGAGGGTATGGATAATTTCTGGAGCCGTATAATGTAATGTCACCTAGGTGACAAGGTCACCAGTCTCCACTCTGCTTGAAATTGTATTTATAAGCCAAGGAGAAACAAGAAATTGTATTACTTGGCAGCTGTAAAAATACCTTTGCCATTCCTGATGACTTGTCAATCCCATCATATTGACAGGAATAGTCAAATACTTGTTCAGGGAATCTTTGTCTCAGCTTATCCTTTAATGCCTAAAAACAAAATACAAATAGTTTCACTGTTTACAGCTTCTTTATTTTTCAAGATTTCTGACAAATCACAGAGGGTAACAATCAGCATGGTGGGGTGCAAGCTGTGGGGGAGGGGGAATAACAGATGTTTGAGATGACATGGTCCCATTCAGGTCCTCCCTTCCTCACCCATGTTAACACTCTCAAAAGCTACTTATTTCCCTGTTGAGGTGATACCTCATTGATCAATCATGCCTCATGCTGAAAACCAAAATGATGTCAGATATTCCTGTGCCAAAAGCTAGTGCTTTGAGTCTCCCAGCTGAGGTCTCTACCAGTGGTTTCATTAACGGCCTGGTACCAGGCAAATTACTGGGCTGTAAAGATGATTTTGCCCAACTGGTTTGACCATCTAGAGGAAAGTTCTTCTTATAAAGGAGTTCAGTTCAAAAAGCTTTGTCTGCCTGTGAAAGCCAGTTGTCCTCCTGCTGAAAATGTTAATGAAACCCCTGGATGCTTCAAATTATTATTTAATTATAATTAAGTTTAAATTTTTACCGTATACCATCACCATAAATTAACATAAATAACCTTTAATTGTGCTTTGTTTAGAGGATGAACATCTACAAATGCTTTCAAGATCTCTGGAGGCAGATCATTGAGAAACTCAGCATTTCTAAAAAGGAATGCCGCATTTTGACTTTGCATTCTGTATGCTGCATGTATGATTTCCATATGTGTTATTGAAGTAGGAAAGATCCATTTGTATTCTTCTTGAATCTCTTGTGATATTTCAGAAGAACTTGGAATCCATCCATACCTACAAGTGGGAAAAAATCACCCCTTACTGTTAGTCCAGCAGGCGTACAGGTATTTTTCATGTCATTTTATTAGAAGTAATAATAATAATTCTGTTATTGTTAAAAAACAGTTACAGTTATATATATAAGTTTTGAATTTTTCTTTTTGTCTGAGATTTACGGGGCTAAATATTTTATGGTGATGATGGTGATGATGATGATGATGATGATGATGATGATGAAGAAGAAGAAGAAGAAGAAGAAACTTTTAAATTAATGTCTTGGTAATTTGAAGCTGACGGAAAAAGTCTCCTCTACTAATTGTATCTCCTGAAACCCTGAATATCAAACAAAAATACTTGTTTATCATAATCTATCACCTTTCTCCAAGCATGTTCAAGAAAAATGGCTCCCCATCAGTTTCATCTGAACAACGATCAAGTTCACCCAAACAAGTTCTGATAGTTGCTTCAGTTGTGGAATCTTTAGGGACACCCCATCTAAGATCACATTCAATCAGCTGGATTGACTTCTCTTCACACCACTCACGCAACTCAGGAACAACCTGTATAATGTAAAAGTAATTGGGTGTAGGCATTTCT